TGATTCCAACAGTTTTGTAGAATCATGGAATAACTTGGGTTGGAAGGATCCTTTGGCACTCATCTGCCATGTGCCCTGTGCAGAGAAGGCCAGGTCACTCAGGGCTTTGCCCAGATGACTTTGGAGTTACCTCCAAGGGTACATATTCCAGAGCCTCTGGGCAACCTGCCTCAGCATTTGATACTTCATCACGCCTTTTCCCCTCATAAACGCCAAGGTTTTGGTAGAGGGCCTGCAGGGGTGGCCTCTGTGAGGCGAGACCAGGCCTGCCCTCAGCTGGTCACAGTCAGTGGCAGCCGGATCCGACAGACCCAACCTCAGCATGGCTGGGCCCGTCCTCAGGGGAGTCTGTGGCACCTCTGGAAAGGTGTCTTAAAGTGACGGTGGCAAACACTGAGAAGAAGGAGAAACAACGCCAGGGTGGGAGGAAAAGGAGGAAAGAAATCCGCAGTGGAGCAGGAGGAGGGAAGCGAGAAGAGCACACCTGGGTAGGGGCTGTATCCAAGGTTTTGCCAGAGCAGGAGCTGAAAGGTGCAGCCTGGAAAAGCTGCTGCCAGTGAAGGAACCAGTCCCATGTGCACTGGTCCCAGTGCCCTGCGCTGGCCACTGCCTCAGCAAAGGAGCTGAGCATGGCCTAGGGTGAGGGCACTGAGGAGGAAAAGGTCTGAGGGGGGAGGAAGAAGTATGAAGGAAAGCAGGACTTTTCCTCAGGGCTGTTTGGGTTTTTTCAGTCTCCCTTGATACCAGAATTTGTAATTAATAGGTTGTTAATTGGCAAATAAATTAGATTCATGGAAATTCCCTGAAGGGGGAAACAGTTTTTGTCGGTGACAGTATCTAACAGAAATTTCTCTGATACGATTTGTGACAGTTGTCCTCTTTCTTTCCCAGGATACCTCTGAGAGCAGCCTGGCTGTGTCTTCCCTGTACCTTCCCATCACATGTCTGAAGACAGCAAGAGGATGCTCCCTACCCATGGTCATCTCCAGACAAGATCTAGGTCCTGTGCCTGGTACGTTGGATGCTCCTGGACCCAACCATCATGGTGCCTCTTCACTGGTCTCACTCCAGTGAGCTGTTTTTACAACTTTTCTAGACTATCTCTATAGTAAGACTCAAACCAAGAACTTTTTACAGTGAGGATGCTCAGGTACTGGAACAGGTTACCCAGAGAAATTGTGGAGGATCCACCACTGAAGATGTTCAAAACTGGACTGGACAATGTCCTGAGCAACCTGCTCTAGCTGACCCTTCAGAAGGCAGGGTGGACTAGATCTCTAGACAGCTCTCCAACTGGAATGACTGGAATTCCTCTTGTGCTGGGGAGCCCTGACCTGAGCACTGCAGTGATGATGAGGTCTTGTGCTAAGTGGAAGAAGATAATTATTTCCTTTAAAGTGCTGGCTATGGTCTTGCTCATGCAGCCCCCAATGTGGTTGGCTGTCACCTCCACAAGGTTGTGTTGTTGACTCACATTCATGCATTGCTAACTCGTGCTTAGTTGTCTGGGTGTTGAATGTAGTCTTAAAATAAATCTGTGACGTGTAAATTCTTATGAAATAAGGAGGAAGGGAAATCACCAAACTTAGCACTTTCTACTTTCCCAGCTCCATGGGTATTTATTTCCAAGCATACATTAATGAAAATCCCTATGTACTCTGTGTTTCATAGGTAGAAAATATCTTTATCATTTCTGTACTTTCAATAAATCTCTTTAGCCCAAAGTAATTTCCTTATACAACTCCAAAGATCTTTTGCAATCATGTTATTTGAAATAAAATGATATAGCATTAGATATAAGTTTTCCCAACTTCTTGGTAAACCTTGTCAGGAATTCTAGCTTGTATGTTCTATTGTTTGGAACATTTAGTTTACACAGGAGAAATGACAATTTTTCTGTGTTTTATTTCAAGTTATGTTAATACTGTTCTTCAGCTAATTTTCATTTCTTAGCTGTATGCTTTCATAAAAAAATAGGAAATTAAAATATCATAATTAATTGTAAAGCAAAATAAATTTCCCCAAATCATTCCAGTTGGAGAGCTGTCTAGAGATCTAGTCCACCCTGCCTTCTGAAGGGTCAGCTAGAGCAGGTTGCTCAGGACATTGTCCAGTCCAGTTTTGAACATCTTCAGTGGTGGATCCTCCACAATTTCTCTGGGTAACCTGTTCCAGTACCTGAGCATCCTCACTGTAAAAAGTTCTTGGTTTCATTCTTACTATAGAGATAGCCTAGAAAAGTTGTAAAATCATCTGTGAACACCAGTACAGCTCTCAAGAAGCTAGGGACTGAATTTGTCTTGTTTGTCTATTTTCACAAAGTCTTTGAGCTCAGTCATAGACTGTGGTGAAGTGCAACACAACCAAGTCTCAGGAAGCATTGTGTATTTTACTTTCAAAATGCAGAGCTGTGTTCTTACATCAGGAATGGACGGTTGTAGTTCCAAGTTCGCAGTCAGAGCATAGATGGCTTATTTCTGACCCTCTCTTTGGAATGCCAGGACAGAGGAGCATTTCCAAATGCATCCAGTCTGCCCTTGGAAAGTGCTTTGCAAATTGTGTGAGACACACTGGACATGGGAGTAAAACAAAGTGACATCAAGAAGTCTTCTTTCCCATTTCTTCCACCATGATGCAGCATAATTATGCTAGTGCCATTTCTAAAGGAAATTTGATGGACTTGATCTTTACAGTGCCCTCCACAGCACCTGGCAGAGAAATTATATCCTATGCTATCATATTCTTTCCATGCATGTGGGAAATGCAGTGCCTCAAAGCCCTGTGTGCAAAGGCAGCAGTTTCATTGTCAAACTGGGGGCTGCCAGTGGGAGATGTGTGCCCTCTGTGCCTTCACCAGCCAGCGTGAAAGAAAGGATCACATTTTCCTTGGCCTTCAGGAAAATGCCCACAAAGGAATGACAGGGGTGGCTGGGTGATGGGGGCAGCAGAATGGGAGATGAATTCCTTGTTTCCTCTAGGGTGGATCTAGAATATGAGATTCCAAAGAAACCCCAGAAATTATTCTGGCACCAGGACCCAGAACTAACAGATGTTTCTTCATGTTGAGGATCTGCTTTTGCTTTCCTTTGGGAGCACACAGTGACAGTGTGAAATTGGCACATGCCGAGTGCTGGCAGGATGAGTGGCTCCTCTGCTGCACGATGAGATTGCATTCATTTGATTTTTCATTTTTGTTTTTGGGAAGAGTGAAGGTGCCTATTTGTTTTAACTTTCGGGGTGATGTTGTGGATAGAAACTGTCTGTTTCAATTGAACATTATCTTGAACAGAATTTCAGCTTATCAGTGTAGGATACCAGAAAGGCAAGGTATGCTCCCATATTTTATTACTTTAATTCTGAGGAATATTTCTTTCCCAGATGACTTTAAAAAAAGTTCCTGTTTTCACAGTGATTTCGTAATCATGAGGTTTCCCAAGAAGACTGCATAAAACCCTGGAAGGCAATGATGTAAAATGAACATCATTTTCCCAAAGAACCTAATCAGCTTTTGTACTTGTACATCCTTATAAGGGTCCATAACATTTCACTTTCCTTAATGTACATAAATTATTTCCCAACTTGCTTCCATGAGAACTGCAAATGTTTTGCCTCTTTGATGAGTTGTTATTATTTGGGTATGTTATCTTTGTAGTCTGCTTTTTATTGCATATATGTTTATAAGTTTCCTCATAAAATGGTCAGTCATTCAGGAACTGTAAGTGCACATTATTATGGAGAAAAACAGAGTAAAACTACAGTGCCTCTCTTTTACTCCTGCTTTGATCAGACAATGTCTGCTTGAAATTTTTTGGTGGTAACTTTTATTTTAAACACTACCTTATACGTTTGTCTATTTATATATCAGAGAACACTGATACTGAACATGAACTGAACTCTGATTTATTAGAGTGCAGAAACACAACAAAGATATTGCAGGGGCTAATGTGAGCATTTATTCTGTTCTTTGTGGAGGGGATGACCTTTCAAATCCTTCCCCATTTCATTTACTGGAAGGAAATTTTATGCTTCCCTGACAACAAAATTTTTTTTCCAAACGCACAACTAATGTAACCACTGCACTTCTGCTCCACAGTGTTTCTGTTCCAGCAGAATATTAGAAAGGTGTCTCCTTGTTAGGTTAATCCAGTCTCTTCTATCTATTTATTATGGGTGTGCATGTCAGTGTAATATCTTCTTCTATTGCTGGTGCAAACATGGAAGTCTGCTTGTCTGGCTCTATCTATGCCTGCATTTTTTTATCAACATGTGGTTTTAAACTTAATTTTATGAGCCAGAATATTTGCAGGGTTGTCAGTACCTGCTTTACATACAATATAGCAAAACTCTCTAGAGAATTTCAGCTTCCTGAATTCCTGTCAGCTTGGGAGTGTGTTTCTTAGAATGTTGACATGTCACATGGAGACTTCATATCCTTAGGGAAAAAACCGCCTTTTTGATCCCTGAGTATTGACAGCCACATTAAATATTACTTTTCATAAATGAACGAGAGTGCATCCTGATCCCACCAGGTGTTCCCCTGGTACCTTCATCTTTCTTCACTCCTTTCTTTTTCCTCACTGGTCAGCTACTGGAATATAGTCCAGGGAAATCACTCTTGTTCATGCTCTCAGATTACTAATTGTAAAACACAAATGTAATGCTGGCTGCGTTCCTTTCCCTTTACTTTTCTCAGATAGGAATTATCCTCTAATTGAAAGAGTCTTTTTCCTTCCTTTCCCAGCCATTCCTCATGTTCATTATATCCACTTGGAGTGGGAGTGCAGTGGTCCAGCAGCCAGCTTTCTTCAGTGCTCCATTGCCTTAATTGACCAGATGTCGTGGTTTAACCCCAGCCAGCAACCAAGCACCACACAGTTGTTTGCTCCCTCTGAACTTCAGCTCAGGTTCAGACCAATGTTCCAGCCTGTCCAGTGCAGCAGCACAAAACCAGCAGGAGCACCCTGGCCACCTGCCAGCCCAAGCTGGGAAGCACCACACAGTTGTTTGCTCTCTCTGAACTTCAGCTCAGGTTCAGACCAATGTTCCAGCCTGTCCAGTGCAACAGCACAAAACCAGCAGGAGCACCCTGGCCACCTGCCAGCCCAAGCTGGCAAACATCACCATGGCTGCTATCAAGATGTTCCCAGGCACAATTCAATAAGGTGAGAAGTAGCAGAGCACTACAGCAAGCAGCAAAAGCGAAAAACAGTCACTAACTAGCACTTAGGAAAGAGAATTAGAAGGGTAAAAGGTGGAAAACTCATGGGCTGTGATAAAAACAGTTTAATAGGGAAAGCAAAAGCTGTGAGCGAAAAACAGTCACTAACTAGCACTAGGCTCTAACATGCAGTCAGGAAAGCGAGCCCCATGGCAAGCATAGGTACCCACTCATTACCAGCTAAACAGCACTAACAGATATAAATTCAGTCTAGCACGTCCCAATCAGATCTGTCATAATCTCAAACCCTTCAAGCACCATGTTGGGCACCAAACAAGGATGCTCGTGGTTTAACCCCACTCAGCAGCCAAGCCCCAGGCAGATGCTCCCTCCCTCCCTCCCTCCCTCCCTCCCTCCCCTTCAGGATTAGGAAAGAGAATTAGAAGGGTAAAAGGTGGAAAACTCATGGGCTGTGATAAAAACAGTTTAATAGGGAAAGCAAAAGCTGTGCAAACAAACAGAGCAAACGAGGGAATTAATTCACTGCTTCCCATTGGCAGGTAGGTATGTTCAGACATCTCCAGGGGAGCAGGGCTCCACCATGTGCAATGTGCAGTTACTTGGGAAGACAAAGGCCATCACTCCAAATGTGTTGTGTGTCTCTCCTTCCTTGTTTTTCTCCCCAGTTTGATATACTGAGCATGATGCTATATGGTATGGAAACTCCCTTTGGTCAGTTTGGATCATCTATCCCAGCTGTGTACCTCCCATACACCCCCAATTTCCTCACCAGAGCAGTGGTACAAAAAGTGGAAGAGTACTTGGATCTGTGTAAGCCCTGTTCAGCAACAAGAAAAACATCTCTGTATTATCAACTCTGCCCAGTCCAGATCCAAAACACAACCCCACCTCACCCACTGTGAAGATGGTCAACCACCTCTGCCCAAATCAACACACAAGATCACCATAAACTGTTAAAGGCTCTTACTTAGACACTCATCTCCTATGTAAGTAGATCCTTACACAGTCACCATCTAGAGTGGGTGGGCAGTTCTAGGTAAAGAGGCTTCAATTTATGTGTGTCAAATTAATACACAGATCTGCAGTTCACATGCCTGTCTGCCATTTCCATGAGGTCTGTTTAGAAGAATAATGTATTCTTAAGAACTTTTCTATCAGTAAAGCAAAAGAACAGCTCTTCAGTTTCTTCTGGTTCATTCTAAAGCTACAGGGTTACCAAAACAAATTTTTAGGAAGAGTCAGATTTCCACAACCAGAGACTAGTGCTGAATGGTTCAACATCCAATTGGAGATTAGTGATCAGTGGTGTCATCAGGCTTCCAAATTGGGATCAGTAGTATTTAATACCTTTATCAATGGCATAGACAGTGGGGTTGAGTGCACCCTCAGCAAATTTGTAAATTACACCAAGCTCAGTGGTATGGTTGACAGCCCCGAGGGACAGGATGCCACCCAGTGGGAGCTGGACAAGATCAATAAATAATCCCATGGGAATCTCATGTGAGTCAACAAGGCCAAGTACAAGGTTCTCTACCTGGGTTGGGACAATCTCTGATACCAATATAAGATGGGGGATGAAGGGAATGAGAGAAGCCCTGCTGAAACAGCTTGGGTGGATGAGCAGCTGGACTTAGCCAGCAATGCACTCTCAGTCCAGAAGACAACTGCATCCTGGGCTGCATCAAAAGATGTGTGGCCAGAACATCGAGAAAGGTGATTCTGCTCCTCAGCTTTCCTCCTGTAGGACACCATTGTGACACTGTGGTCCCCACCTTGCCTTTTTCTGCTTAACCAATGGCCACCAGTGGTGGTTGTGATAGCTGTGTCTGACTTACAGATATCAATCCAATAGCTAAGGACCCTAAATCTTGTTCGACAACTAAGGGGAGTTAGTTTTGCCAACAGCTCAGGGCTAGTTGACCATGCAACAACCCAAAATACATCTGGTATGTAAATATGACTGTAAGTCAATCTTTTATTCCATGAATAGTGGACAGCCTGGGCCCATTGAGCTGTCCCTCATGGGAGTGAATCGCATGCCAGGATCTCTCCTTGAGCAGGAACACCTCTCAGGCCTACTCCTTATTGCTGAGAGACCTCTCACTGCAACAGATTCTTGGTAAGTGATTAATAGCATGCTAAACTTTGAAATCATAGCTGAGTGATATAAAGGATTGATTGTGCACAGGTTATCCTTGAGGCATAAACCACCGAAACCGAGTCTGGGACTGTCTCCATCCATCCAAATTCCCCTCAGAAAGCAGTTAAGAAAGCAGTGTGTCTTTTTTTTAACCTCATCACTCAACAGGAGGGTGTCCCTGACAGTTTTGTCTGACTCTGACCTCTATGCAGTAAAAATCAAGTGTACCTTGAATTGAATCTTGTTAAACCACTGTCACATTTACTATCAGACTTTGTTAAGTTGCTTGTTTATATCAATAAACATATTGCTACTTCTCTCTTACAGGTGAAGTGAGAAGTAAGTATCACTTAATCTGTGATACTGTTCTGGAATACTGCATTCATCTTGGGAGTCCTCAGCACAGGAGAGACATGGAGGGGGTGCAGAGGAAGGCCACAAAAAAGGTCAAAGCAATGAAACAGCTCTGAGAGAGCTGGGGTTGTTCAGCCTGGAGAAGTCCTCTTAATACTTAAAGGAGGCTTAAAAAAAAGACTGGGACAGACTTTTTAACAGGGTTTGTAGTAATAGGACAAGGTCTCATTGTTTTGAAATAAAAGAGGGTAGATTCAGAGTAGATATAAGGAAGACATTTTTTACAATGAGAGTGGCGAAACACAAGAACAGGTTGCCCAGAGGGGTGTTAGATGCCCCATCCCTGGAAAACATGCAAGATCAGTCTGGACAGGGCTCTCAGCAACCTGGTCAAATTGAAGAGATGTCGTTGCAGGGGGCTTTGACTAGATGACCTTTAAATGTTCCTTCCAACCCAATCTATTATATTTCAAATTACTTTGGGGTCTCTTGCTTAATGGGAATTGCTTGAGTTAAAAAAATTCAATAAACAGAAGACCAAGAAACCAACCTTTTCTTCCTTATTGGGAGGACTGTTAGTTGATGTGGAACAGAACCTCTTGCAGAGGATGTGGAACAGAACCTCTTGCAGACCAAATGAGCAATTATTTTTGGCACAGCAGAACACTGCTGTTCCTCTCCCAAAGATTCCTTGAACAAATATACTTACCTGTCTTCCTTCCTCTGTTTTGTGATTGTTCTCACAGAGAGCTCTTGCCATGCAAGATAAACAAGAGAACATAATCCAGGGAGTGCCCTGCTCGGGAATAAGCAGGGTAATTATCTGCTAAAGGATAATTGGGTCAAGTGTGCATCATATGCTTTATGCTTTCATTTGGAGCATAATACTTGTCTCTGGAATCTTCTTTTTAGTTCATCTCTTGTTTTGGTATGCGTGGCTTTTCTTTTTTGTTTGTTTGTTTGGTTGGTTTTTATTGTTTTTTTTTTAAAGTTTGTTTGTTTTGGTTTGCTTTTTTTTTTTTGTCATTTGAGAAAATATATGGAAGATGAAGATTAGTTCATGGGTCTTTTTAGGCTAATTTTCTATGGACATAGGTTGTTATCAACCTTGTTGTCAAGACATGTCATCTCACTTGACACTTTGAAGCTTTTCTACAGCCTTCAGAAGAAACCATCTGTGGATTTATAAGGAAGACTGTAGCCAGAAAGGATAAACTCATTTGGTGGGTAAGACTTTAAGACTTCGACGGTGGACATTCGCTTAGGTGCTAGGCTTACAGACTTTATAGTGAATCCAGAAGCCAAAGGTAGGTGGCTGTAATCCCCCAGTGGGATGAGGAAATAGGAGACTCAGGAGGTGGAACAACGAGAAGTGCAGAGCTTAAGGAGTGGGAAGAAGCTCTACTGCCAGTAAAAAAGGAAATGACCACTCTGGGTGACATTGGTCATCCCATGTTTTACAGGCTGCAGATGGGTAATTTTGTGTACCTGGAGTTAAAAAGAAGCAAATAGCAACCAGGTAAATAGGTGCCAACATCTTCAATAGCCTCTTATTGCCTGCAGCCACTGTCCAGGAAGGGTTGCTGTGGGTTGAGCCTTTAGCTGAGTGGCTGCATGAGGATGTTAAAGAGGGTGCCAAGAGGGCAAGCACAACTGAGTTTGGCTCTGCAACCTAGCAGATAGGGTGCTCATTTGGGAGGTGAAAATGACTGATTCTGCTTTTGAATCAGGACTAAGGGTTTTATCTGAGACAGCTACTGCCTCCACTATCAAAAATAATTCAGTGTAGATGGTTCAAAGTCTTCCTGGTGATTCTCTAGTGATTAAGTGTGTAGATGACAGAGAACCTCATTATGGTGAATTTATTAGCTCTGGCTAAAGGCTGAAAATGTGTTACAATTTTCAGTGCCCACAAAGCTAAATGAAATGAATGTCATCAGTGCTATGTTTTGAAATAATCTACAGGTGTTGGTTGTGCTCTGGGCTAGTTGAGACCAGATTGAATTCACAGGAGTGCCTAGTGTGTCTCTGGAATCTCATAGGCTTGAACAGGATGCTTAGTTTTCCAGTGCACAGAACTATTGGGTGCGAACAGGATGGCAACAACAGGAGCTCAGGGTTCTTCTAAGTTGAAGATAGAGGTATCTTATCAGTTCACATTCTGGTCTTCTGGGTGAGCAAGTTTAGGGGTCTTTTTTGCTGGTTTGGTTTTATTTTTAACTAAATTTGTCTGTTAAGTCCCAAACACTCATTGAAACCCTGAGGTAGTTATTGAAATCTTTATTTGGATATAGTCCATATTTCCTTCCTGTTGACAGTGGTAGATGAACAAGTTTTGTAAGATGTTTTTAATCAGAGAACAAAAATAATCTTTGTTGGAGTGCATCATGGAGTGCAGAAAATAAAAGGTACCATTGCATGCTGGCATCTATACCACAGTTTCACTTATTTAGTAATTTTTTTCTGCTTTGATTATTAATGTGGTTTGGAGCCTCACTTTGACTTTCCAGTTTTCACAGAACTCTGTTGACAAGTTTTAAATTCGTGCTTGAACAGGGGAGTTGAATTATGTGATCTCTGTAGGTCCCTTCCAACACCATTCCATGATTCTCTGAAAACTTGCATTTCCCACAACTTTTGTTGGCATGCCAATTAGTCATGCCTGCAGGGAAGCAAGCACACAGGTGGACAGAAGAGTCACCAATAGTCTTTCTTCTGAGCTGTTGCTCACCTGTTTTTCCCTGTGTTGGTGATTGTGCTGTAAAAAATTATTAATAAATACTGGAACTGAACTCTGAACTGCAAATGTCTGAGGTGGATCTAAGTTTACTTTGCTAGGAGCCCACAACACATATTACAATTTAGGAATACTTCTGTTAGTGATAAACTGTTTCTTAGTCTGCCCACTTCTTAGTCCCAGAGGTATCTCTACAGGGCAGTGCTTATCTGCATGACCCGGTGTATGTTGACCGCTTTTCTTCACTGTGAGTATGAATGTGTTAAATTTCTATATCTGACATCCTGCAAGGATTATTTAATTCCTTTGACTTTACTCATCTAACATTAGCCATTTGCACTCCGTGACCTGGTATATGTTTGGGAGGTGTGCTTGTCTTGTGTGTCAATGTACGTGAAGTTTATTAAAATAGTTAAATATATTATTGCTGCATACAAGAGTGACAAAGTAACCTGTACATTTGGCCAGCTAGAGGCTCCCTTCACTAATACCTGTGTGTATTTAAACAGATTTCTATGGTTGTTTCACCACTTGCATAAGACCCTTGGAATTGCCAGAAGATGCAATTTCTGTGAAAACTTGTTTGCTGTCTGTAATCCTGTAACAGCCTGCCAATCTGCAAAGGCTGATACATGTTCTCAGGCTGAGGACTGCTATCAAGTTTATAGGGATCAGGAAGAAAACCAGCTTTTCTTAAAGGAACAGTTTTGAGTTGATGGAGCTGTTATTTGAGGCCTCAGGCTGCAAGTTATCAGCTGTCAAATAGAGAGCTTCTGCCTTACTTATAAATGTTTTGGTTGCAGGCTAGATTAAAATATACACCATTTGTTTTTCCATTACAATTCTTAATTGTTCAATAATTTAATACTGGAGAAAAGTAGAAATTATCTGCTCTTGACTATTAAGGAAAGTCAGTGTGGCATGCAGGGGTGGCAGTGGTGAGGTGCATGGCTGAGCTTAGATCAAAGGGTCCAGGGGGTTCCTGGTGTCAGGGACACCCAAGGCAGGGCAGGGAGCTCCTGCCTGCAGCCAGCAGAGGCTGTCTCTGTCCTAAGAGAGGCTTCTGCAGTTCAGGCCTTGCCAGGATCAACTGTGGGAGATTGAAACAGCCCAGGGGAGCAATGTGACCAGGATGGGCAGATGTGGATCGAGGGGGCAAACAGGGCTTGAGAGGGTGCAGCGTTTGCACAAGAAGGGCACATGAGAAGGGCTGTGCATCCTGCCTGTGGACCCACAGCCCAGGGAAGTGCTCTAAGTCTGCCATGATGGTGGGCACATGCCTCAGATACAAACCCAGTGATTCTACAGAGAAAGTCTCTGAGATGTTTGTGGCTTCCTTGAAGATGGGACTGGTAAGGAAGGAGACTTCAGTAGAAGCAGTAGATTACAATGAGTGACCACACTCTTCTGGAGAAAAGGTAAATGTCTGCAAAAGATGTGCACAGGGTGTTGCATCAGCTAGCTGAGTTGCAGGAAACAGTTAAAAGGCTGTCCAGTACTAGAGAGGCTGAGATGGACATAGATAAGTCGTTTCAGAACCATACACCCGCAGCAGACCACACAGACAATGTGACATCTTTGACCCTCATGACGCCCAAAAGCCTGACTCTGCTTCATTCCCCACCCTCCAGCATTGCAACCAAAACCAGATATGAAGATTTAACTGCTGTAGACACCCATGAACAAGGTCTGTGAGGAGAAACTATACCAGCAGCAGGCAGTGGGTACCACAGAAGGAAATGACAAATGCTTGTAGTGGGTGATGCACTGTTAAGGGGTATTGAGGCACCCATCTGCTGGCCTGAGAACAGGATATTCTTTGGTGACAGTGGACTGTTCGGGAGGGATGGAATCCACCTCTCTGGAAGTGGGTGATCTTCAGAAGCAGGCTGGACAACTTAGTGAGCTTGGCTTTAAACAGGAGGACTCTGGGGGTGAGGTCCAAAGTGGCAACATTTACACCATTGCAACCAACTGTGGAGTAAGTCCAGCCAACAGAGCAGTGACAAATTTTCCTTATTTGCCTGGCCAGAAGGCAGCCACCTGTCACATCAAGTGTGTGTTGATCAATGCATGGTCTGAGGAACAAACAGGAGGAACTGGAACTTTATGCATCACTCAGAAAGTTATGATATCATAGGAATAACTGAACCATGGTGGGACAGCTCACATGACTGAAGAATTATGATGGATGGCAATAGATTGTTTCATAAAAACAGGCAGGGATGAAGAGGAAAATGAGTCATGCTGTATAATAAGGAAAACCAGAATATGTAGAGGTCAACTACAGCAATTGAGATTCTAGTTGGACAGAAGATGAACATTTTTCACAAGAGGAACAACAAGTCATTGGATTAATCTCACCAGGGAAGTGGAATTCTCCAATTTTGACACTTTTAAGATTCAGCTGGAGAAGGTTGGCCATCTGCTTTTTCTAAAAAAGATTGTAGCAGGTGATCCTTGATCCCTTACGACCTGGTATTCTATGATACTATGAAAATAGTTTGTATTTACTATAAATGCTACACATGGCTCAAAGCTAGTTCTACCTTTTTCTTTTTTTCTTTTCTTTTCTTTTCTTTTTTTTTTTTGGTGGGGAGGAGGGGGGGTACCTATTTCTGACCAGTTATGTTTCATCTTTTATAAAAAAAATAACATCTTAAACATCTAAATGTAAGCCCTGATACCAAGTGCAGTTACTCAATAGTGGAGGTTTCAGGGGAACTTTTTGAGATAGCTGAATGCAATGTCAAGTATCAGAAATAGAGAAAGTGGGGATTTGACAGGATGTGGTATTTCCTTCTGAGAAGCTGCAATTCTGAAAAGGAAACTGGAAGTCCTGTTAGATAATAATCTTATTTCACATCTCAGATTAAGTGTATAGAAAAAAGAATTAATGTCATCCCTGCATACACAAAAAGGAATATTGAATAGGTATAGGGAAATTATTGTTCTACTGCATTTGCCAGTGAAAGTGGTTTTATATAACTTTAACTCCCTAAATTGATCTGATTTTCCCACTGCAGGTTTTCCTCTGTTGTCTTTGGAGAAGAAAGCTAGATGGTTACTGTAGACTATGTGCATAACATTTGCATAGCTCAGGTTAAAGGAGGGGAACCCTATTCATGTCCCAGCAATGTTCAGAGTTTACACAAGGCATGCAGATTCCAGATTCCACCTCTAGGAAGTTAAGAGAAATCCTCTTGTGATCCATCCTTTCCTTATCATTCAAATTTTAGGAACATTTTGTAAACATCTTCATGCTATGATGTCATGTCTTCTACTTGTTGATCATCAGGAAAGGAGTTGCTTCTGTCCATGCTCAAGCTATTAGCAATGGCACCAGACTATCCACAGCTCTCTGAATGAGGCAGGGCCTGGATATTTTTTCAGGCTTTCAGCAAATGCATGCAGACAATTTTGAATCATTTACTGTCATATAAAGAGCTTGTTTTTGCAATCATACATAAGATTACTATTAAAGTGGGGGGGAAAAATAAAAGAAAAATAATTTAGAGGCCAGAAGGTGCTCTTCCTTTTACTTCCGTTCCTCCTCACTAGCCCCATGGTGCAGAGCTAATAAAAAGACCTAGGGGTTGTCACATATATTACTCTTGTGGTGGGGTCCTTTTTCACCCCATTAGTTTAGCTCCGGGCATAGCAGAACCCCGCTGTGCTTGGTGTTATTAAAACTTTTATAATAATAACAACAACAGTGATAATAAGTGTACTGGAAAACTTCATAGCTGTAGAATTAAAAAGGTAAAAACTGCTTCCTTATTCAATGACACATTAATTAATTATTATTCATTATAATTATATATAAAGCTAATGTTTGAGACTTGACTGATTGGAAATTGTTTTGCCCAAAAGCCAGTGCCTTTTCTTACTAGGTTTTCATGATAATGCAGAATGACATATTTGTATCACAACCTCCTATTTCGTCAAAGCACTGCTTCAGTGAAGAAATAATATCTAGTGGTTAGTGTAGTAATCCTTCTTGTGTCCTGATGGAAACAGGGATCCCACATGTATTTTAGTCTTGATATCTACTTGGAATTAAAAAGCATTCAAATTTTTTGTCTGTGTTGTCTTTAAAGGACATGCAGTCCCACGGATATTTCACTCATGCATGTTTTCCCACCAGAAGACAGTAAAAACTTAATTGAAATAATAAATACTAGGAAAATAAATAGCTGTTTTCCTGTATTTGAGTCTCAGCTGGATGTAATTGTTTGAGGAAATTCACATATATTTTGTTTCTCTTTTTGGAATTATCAGACATAGGTCTGATAGAAGAAACCAAAGGTTTTGTTCAGAGGTGAACACTGTAATGGCATGGGAGAAAAAAACAAGTGTAGTGCCTCCCATTTGACAGGTTTTTGTTTCTTTTTTCAACTTTTTGCTTTTAAATTTAGACAAAATGCATGACAAATCAACATGCAACTTGGTGACAAACCAACATGTTATAAATAGGGTGCCTACGTTAGTAACAGACTCAATCCATTATTGCTACATTTGCTTCCATACTTAGTTCCTATTTCTGCTTCTGTCATTGCTCGAAAGGATTGGGCAAGCACTTGGGTTTATTAATATATTCCAACTATGATGAGACTAGTGCAAGTCATTAGCACTCAGGCAACACACTGCTAAACTGTAAACAAAAATGTTCAGAACCAATGATGTGAACAGCTCTTTCTTAGTCCTTCACCAGTGTTCACATTGTTCATATTGTGTTTGGATCAGTGGGGTTCAGATTGGTTTAACTTGCATTGAAATTAATGACCACAGGTGTGCAGGATTCATTTCAATATTCTACTAATACCTAACTAATACCTTAAAATATGGCAACCATTGCTTTCAGGTGCTGATTGTGAAGCTGTAACAGAATTCCACAGAGAATTCCTAGTTCACTTGATGAATCCACATTCTGTTCTGCCAGGGAATGGTAGTGGTATCAGCCACACTCTAATAAGAGTGCCCTTTAGAGATGTGTAAACTATGGAGATTCTCAAGTCACTTTCAGACTAGCCATCTTATTAATAAGCCTCATAATGATATTGAGGAAGTATGATAATTAAGTTAAAAATCACTAAATAACTGGCAATATGCTCAGAACTGAGAAAGGTGAGTGACTGAGATATTCAGCTGTGAAATGGAGAGCAGAATTTAAAACTTTCAGAGCAGGTTATGAAGTTTCTTGGTGGGAAAATATAACAGAATAATCTGTTTATTCTGTCCATAAACAGAATAAACTGTTTATTCACAGCACAATGCTTTTTTGCTTTCTTTGTGGAAACCATAAGTGAATGTAACCCTGTGTTTTTATTACAAAGTCAGAAGAGGAGAAAGATGAGTTTAGTAGTTGGGATGAATTCACATGAGGGAGAGTGAAAGAAGGACCTAGCCGTGACTACTGGACTTGATCACTTCTGAAGTTATTTCTGGATATTCCAGTGTTATTTGGCTTTTAAGCAGATGGCAGTTTTTAGAAAGAAAGTTCAATACACCTTTTAATATTGTGGTAGACTCAGAAATACTTTGGGACTTTTTGTCTTTTGGCAAGGCTTTTGTGCTTCTACATTTAAATGGTCATGCTCAGTAAAAGAAAGCAGCTGTGGAATCAAACATGAGACTCAGGTTTTAAGTTTGTAGAGAGTTTATCTTTCATTTTCACAAATAATGCCTCCAACAAATAGGGCTTTAACACTAGTTCATATTTATCAATATTAACAGTAAATCAAACTGAGTTGTTACTTTAAAGACAGAGTATTTTAGCTCATAGTCTTAGGATCATAAAGATTTTATGAGCTATTTCATGGTAAGATATCTCAAATTAACGGTGTTGCTAACTGTAAAAAGTTAGATAAGACAGAGGTTTTACTACTGTTTTAGTGTGAAAACTCATGACATCAAGAATTTACTACTTCAGGGAGTTAGTTTTGAACTTTAGTCGGGTTTACTGACTAATCACATGACGCATTTTCTGTTTTCCTTTGAAAGGCGTTAACATTTTAGCATGCCCATTTAAAAAAGAAACCACACAGAATCCTATATAAACGACTTCCACAGACAGCCTATTGCTTCAGCCCACTGGGATGATATAAGGTAAGAGTGACATAGCTCTAGAAATGCTAAAGATATGGTCTATGTTATGATTGGAATGTCCTTAATTTTCTATTACTTGCTATTTAAGTAATAACTTAGGAAAAATACTTAAAAGTACTTTTGTGATAAAATATTTCATTGGGCTTTGCAGCTATAGTTTAGCAGTTACATTAAAATAAGAATTCATAGAATCATAGAAATCATAGACAATTTGGAAAGAATGTAAAGGAAACAATTATTGTGTCAGTTTTGAATTTACATTATTAGTAAAATAGAATTTACTCCTAGAAAGCCAGATTCTGGTCTCCTTATTTTTGCTAGGTGGCCTTTTAACTTTTTCTGCCTTTTCTGTTCTTAATGTAATCTAGAAGTAAATTTTTCAAAGTATGAATCTGAGCAGTTATTCCTAATTTCACCTTTCAAAGCAAACCTCCAAGAAAGAATAACTCTGAGTGATGAGTAGGGCTGTGAAACAGCCTCATCTCTGCTTCACTACTGTCAGTCAGTGACTGAGAAAGGCTCTTTGGGACCTGCTGTGCTGGGATGGAAAACTCTCCCCACTGCCAAGAATCCCCCACAAAACCTTTCTAGAGGAGTCATCTTCTTCTCCTCTTTGTGGGTGGAAGGAAGTCCAAGAAGAGTGCAGGGCTTAGAGCTGGGCATCCTAGTGAGTTCTAATTAGTTCAATTGAACTGATTCTCATCTGACAAGTTCCTTTCTCGGAATCAAGGAAAAAAAAAAAATCATCAGTCAATTCTATCCTGGAGTATTTAATTTGACCCCAAAGAGAATTCTTGTCTTTGCCATCTAATTTGTTGAAAGGAATCACCTTTTGTTAGCAGAGATTAAACAGTAAAAAGGAAGTGTGTGTGCATGACAGAGTTTGGGGAATTAAGTGGGGAATTCCCTCTGAAAGTGGAGACAAGAGGAAGAATATAGTACAGAGCTCTGTCCACTTGTGCCAATGAGATGTCCAGAGTCTTGGAGGACCCCCCAGGTTTGTTGGGGGTACATTTTTATAGATATATTTTCCTGCCCTGAAGACAGGTTGCTCTCTTTCTATGCAAATTATCATGTCCAGTTCCTTCTTTCAGACCTTTTTGGAAATGCATCAGAGGTTTTGGGGTTCTTGGGTGGTCTTAATGCCCTCCCTCCCCAGATTGACCTTGGGTCGATATTTCATTCCTGTTTCTGTGCCATGATACTAAGGGAGCTGGAGGAGCAGATAGAGCCTTTAGAAAAGCAGAAGGGGGAAATGGAAGTGATTTCAACACTGACTGGGGAGGTTGCATCTGAAAATGACTTTGCTCGGGGCAAATTCTGGGCACAGCATACCCGTGAGCCTGTTGCTTTCACACAAGCCATCCAAACTGCAGCCAGAGGCAGGGAAAACGCGGTGTTTGTGGAAATAAGTCCTCACCGAGCACTGCAGCGAAGCATAAAAGAAACGCTAGGGAAAGGCACAAAGGTGTTGTCCTCTTTGCAAACAGATGCAGAATATCAGACACTCTTCACACTTGTAGGAAATCTGTTTGAACTGGGATTTAATCCCAACTGGCAGCACTTTTATAATGGGTATCAAAGTGTTCCTGTGGCCATTCCACGATATCAATTTGATCGTCAAAAACTCATGAACTGCCTGGGAATCCATCAACAAGCAAACCAAAGAGGTGTCAGTGCCAGTCATCCTTTGCTTTACGGCATAAACAGTGACAACGTGGAGTTTGGCTGCCTGGTGTCCCAGGAAACGACACCGTACTTATATGAGCACAAGAACAATGGGGTGGCCTTAGTCCCTGGTGCTTTCTATGTGGAGCTTGGTCTGGCCTCTGTGATGAGCAGCTCAGAACCTAAAGTGCCTCTGAGCACTTGCCAGCTGAGTATCAGTTTTTCTGCACCGTGTGTTCTTACACAGAATTCCCAAGTGCTGAGTATCAAGCTGAGTCCGCAAAAAGCCATGACAACTTTTGAGGTTCTTTCTTCCTCCAACGCAGTTTATGCTGCTGGCCAAGTGGCAAAGGGGGGGCTTGAAGGTGTGGTGGAAGAAAGCAGCATCTCCTTCCAAGCCATCTATCGAAGATGCAAGTCAGTGATTAGCAGAGAGGAACTTTATGAAGCACTGTCTCATGTTGGCTTTCAGTATGGCTCCATATTCAGGCAGCTCAGTGATGTTCATTATTGCCAGGAGCTAAAGGAAGCTATAACGAGCATAAAGGTGAATGAGGAGACTGCCAGAGACATGTACAGCTACTGTATCCACCCAGTGCTGCTCGACTGTTTCCTGCAGATGACCGCTGTCCTGACCTCAAGGACACTCCACTCCCGAGCAGGCTTTCCTTCAGGGATAGGCAGCCTGGTGGTGCTCCGCCCGCTGCAGGAGGAAATGATGATATACATGAGAATGAGCAAATCCACTGGGAACTGCCTTGAGGTCTGTGGATGCTTTGTGGACAAACATGGCTCTGTTTTGGCTGAGCTCAAGCGCGTTGCCATCACTTTCATGAAGGAAGCGTCTTCCAGAGACAATGAGTTCCTTTTTGAAAACAAATGGAAAGAAGTCTCTCTTTCACAGACAATTGGACAGCTGGGGTTTAAGCCCAGAGTGCTTGTCTTTGCAGACAAATTTGGGATAGCTGAGCAGCTCAAAAAATACTTGCATCCTGCTTCCAGATATGTTATGTATGAAGGGTGGGAACGCCTTGTGGAAGGCGATGCACAGGATAAAATGAGAGCAGAGGTTAAGGATTATGATGAAATTCTCTTCCTGTGGGGAATCCAAAAGTTAAATGAAGATTCCCCAAGGAAAGCAGTAGATCAGCTGGCAAAGTGCTGCGAAGCCTATCGCCAGGTAGTGGTGGCACTAAGAGAGAAGATGTCTCGCTGTTCCGTCAGAGTGATCACCTACAGAACAACAGAGAGATATGTGGACCACGTTAACTGTGGGTTTGCATTGTATGGCATGACCAGAACTTGTACTGTTGAAGTTCCAGAAATCACATTTCAGTTGATTGACCTCAGCTCCTCTACTTCCCTGGACATCTCAGTGTTAGCAGATGTTCTTGTCAAGTACAAAGGTGGGGACTATCCAGAAGTCTGCATCAGCCAGGGAAGAATTTATGTGTCCGAAATCAGACGCACGCCTTTTGTAGATGCAGATTACATCCAACCCGTAAGATCTCTCCAGAAATCACAGTCATTCACTTTGTACACTTCTGATCCATACACAGCAAAAGACTTGTCCGGGGAATTATCCACCAGTGCTGCTACTCAACTTGACAAACAGAGTGTTGAAATTCACGTAGATAAAATTTGTCTGCACTCAGAAGATTATTCTCCCATTAGTGTTTCTAGCTGTAACTTTGGTAATACACTGTATTGGAACTCCCAGGCAGGAGACAAACACAGGCTTCTAGCTCTTGATTTCAGTGGCACAGTCACTGCAACAGGCAGTGATGTGAAAAAAGTGAAAGTGGGAGATCATGTGGTTTCATGTTATCCCACTGCTGCATCATCCAGAGTTCAGATTCCAGGAGCAGTTTGTTTCAATGCAAGGAAATTCCCATTCCTCCAGAATGTCCCTTGTGTGTCATACTTCATCATTGCATGGGAAATCTTCACTCAGAGGTTACCCAAAGGAAAACATGGCAGAGCATTGGGAATTATTACTACAGAGCCGTCCTCAGTTTTGTGCCACATTCTTTCTGCAGCAGCAGAAGAGATGGGTTGGAGACCAGTCCTTGCAAAGCCCACTCCTAACGTGCTCCAGTATATTAACCTGTGCAGTGCCCTTGTTGTTCTTCCTCCAGTCAACAGACTGTCTCAGGAGGACCTGGCCCACATGTCCTTTCTTAAAGATGTAGTGATCGTGTGTGGCAGTCAACAGCCTGAATGTATCCAGAATGTCAGTGAAATTGATCATGAAAACATCAGCTTTCATATCCTTGCTGTTGCCAGCCTTTTCCGGAAAGCACCTCTAAAGGAAGTGCAGAAGACCGTACACGCCTGGATCAGTTCCATGGATATGAAACGGTTTAGACATCTCTCAGGTTGTGTTTTTCAACAGTCTGAGAACTTTGAAGGGCTAAATTCTGTGATGTCCTATTTCACCTGCACTTCTGTCCCCCTTGCTGTCCTGAGAAGGCAGAAGGACATGGGTGTGCTTTCAGATATCCCACTGTACGAGCCCCAGAAGCAGCTGTTCAAGCAGAACGCTGTTTATGTAGTAGCTGGGGGGCTCACTGGACTCGGCTTTGAAACTGTGAAGTTCATAGCTGAGAACGGGGGAGGGTGTATTGCAATTCTGTCCAGGAGAATTCCCAGCAGTGAGAAGCAAGAAGAGTTAAGGGCTTTGCAGCAGCAGTACAAAGGGAGCAAAGTAGTGTCTGTGCAGTGTGATGTGGCTTTGACCAGTGACGTTGAGAAAGCTTTCCAGTCCATTGCCAACACCTTTGTGGGGAGTCCCATCAAAGGGGTGTTCCAAAGTGCTGTTGCTTTACACGACGGCCACCTTGAAGTGCTGAAGCTGGCTGACTTTCACAAAGTGCTGAGCCCAAAAGTAGCAGGGACCCTAAATCTTCACTGGGCTACCAGAGACCAGGAGCTTGACTACTTTGTGTGCTACTCCTCTGTTACTTCCTTTCTGGGCAATGCCACCCAAACAAACTATGCAGCTGCAAACTCTTTCCTGGATGTCTTCTGCCTCTACAGGAGGAACTGTGGGCTTTCAGGCCAGGCCATTAACTGGGGTGCTCTGAACCTTGGCATTCTGCTCAACCAAAACCACATTCAGAGCATTCTGGGATCCAAGGGCATAGACATTCTGCAAGTGCATGAAATTCATGACTATCTCAGGAAGACCTTACTTATAAACAAGCCGCAGCAAGCTGTGGTCAAATTGAACTTTCAAGCTTTGTATCATCATGTTTTTACTCAGATTATTTCTCTCAAAAGTCGCTTCATATCACTGATGTCAGAAGATTTCAAGAACAAGATTGAAACGTCTGAGGAAACTGAAGTCCCAGAGGCTGCCTTTCTCAAATCTGAGGACTACATCACCTCACTGGTGAGTGACCTCACAGGAGTGAACGCAGATGAGCTAACCATGAACACGCCACTTTCGTCTTTGGGCATAGACTCTATGTTAGCTATGACAATTCAGAACCGTGTCTTCCGGGAGCGAAAGGTGGACATACCCGTTGTGAAACTGCTTGATCCTCACACAACTCTGTCAAGTTTAGTGGTGGTGTTAGAAGAAACAAGCAATGCAAATGGAACAGTTGAAAAGAAGCATGCTGTGGTTGAAAGCGCAGAAAATGGGAGCTGGCTATAGGAATCTTCCCAATCAGGAATTGTGTAAATTTGACAACACTCAGACTCTTTGTAGCATGTCAGAATGTGTAATTGCAGAATGCCTGGTGGTGCTGAATGTACTCATCTGCACTGACTCAGAAAAACCCACACCAGGTTCTTCTGCCTTTATTCTGCTAGCTGTGTTAATTTCAGTCAGTTGTTTGACTTTTTACTTTCAATGTATTTTACCTGAATTTTCAATAGTTTTAACTGGAAATAAGTAGGTATTTTCCTACACATTTTATTGCATATTGCACTTTTAAATTGTATTCAAGTTTTGATGAAAATTGTATATTTGCACCTCTAAGCAGTAAATATACACATAAAGCTGTATAAGCTTATCAGCATATTTGTTATATTCTATTGTTAATATATCATTATTTTTAATATCACCAAATATTTATAAGTACAGGCATCTTTTTGAAAGTCTGATGTCAATTTAAAAACCTAGTGTTTTTCTTGTGTCTTCAAAAATATTAACAATTTACCAATTGTTACCTATTGTCAAGCATACAAAAAAGCAAATGTTTTTTATTATGAATTAACAAATTTTTGTGAAAGCCCAAATAAACAAAAGCAGTAAAATGTTAAAAAAAAAAGCCCTGAAGTGTATTCTTATCCTATTTTATTTTTTTGTCCCTTATCTGCTCTCCTACTTAAAATCTTTGTAACCCTAATACCTGCCCTGCTTTTGCTCCAGTGAAAAAAACCAGACTTTTCTACAAAGACACTGAAGAAAACTGTCTATAGTCTTTTAGTATCGGAATAGGGTATTGTATTATTTCTCCCTTTTCTCCCTAATTCTGATGAGTTGTCCCTTGCAGATCTGGTTGTATTCTCCAGTGTCTGGAGTATCCATGGCCTATGAGGTCCCCCTGAAATAATCTGATCTCCAGGCTGAACTTGGTCTCTCTTAACTCTCATGTGCCAGCCCCAAAGATCTTGGCGGTTTTATCCAAAAGTGTTCAGGTTTATCTGTATCTTTCTCATAGTGGAGGGCCCAGAGCTGGCGCAGGGTTCAGGATGGGGTGTAGTGAGCCAAGTGCGGTGTACTGGTGGTGCATGTCACCCCAGTGTGATGCAGAGTTCCCTTCCCAGCTGGCTGCTGGCTTTCATTGCTGTCAGTGTGCACAGTGAGCTCGTGTTCAGTCCACTGCCCATGGGGACCCCCAGTCCTTTTCCTGCTCTGCAGCCCGTCAGTGCCTGCACTGTAACGCTGTGTGCTTCGTCTGTCTCATGTGCAGAACAGGGCAGGGGGCTAAGCCACCCCAGGAGCAAGGCCTTGCATTCACTATGGTTGGAAATAATAAAGATTCTGTAATGCTCTTTGCCTTGTGAATACTGGCCCTCCCTTTCCATGTGCCAAATGCTCTCACCTGACTTGATGCTGGCTAGGCTGTTAATAAAGAGCCTGCAGGGTGCTGCTACTGACTCACTGCCAGATGGACTGGGCACAGCTGATATCACCCTTTAGGCCTGGCAGGCCAGTGAATACTCCACCCAGCTTATAGTTGTCTTTTTCAATCTATCTAGTATCAGTTTGGCTACAAGGATGCATTGGGACACTGCTGAAAGTCCTCATGGAATCAAGGTGCATAAAATCTCTCCTCAGTGTTTTCATTCTTCAAGGTAATCAGGCTAGTTAGCCCCCATACCTCTGTGGAAAATCCATGATGGTCGTTCCTAGCCATGTTTTAGTTAATATCCTTTACTACCTGTGTCATTTTGAGCTTATGGCTCTGTATGAGCAGAGATCCTTGTGACCTTGCCCAAACATTTTGGAGGGAAACATGGTAATGAAATGAAGAGCAGTTAACCATATACATTTATATACATATACATATGCAGAAAGGCACAGGGAGGATTTCAAATCCAGAGTGATTCTGATGTGGCATCACCTGACCAACAGCCAGGCAAATTACAAAGCATAGAATTTGTTCTCTGCAGCACATTTGTTGTACTCATTTTCTGTGCTCTTCCCTGTGCAAAAACACAAGAACCTTGTAGCACTGATGTCAACATCAAAGCAGTAATCCAGCAGGGCTGCTTTGCACAGCTGGAGTAGATAAAGGTATGACAGGTTGGACAGATGTTAGTTGTATGGCAATCTCTCATAGATGTCCACATTGCACAGTTGTGACTGAATCTATGGATTTCAGCCTTTATACAGACAGGTCTGATTCTGAAAGACCGAAGCACCAACTTTGGCTGGCTGCAGCTCTTTGGTTTTCTCTCACCCAACAATCACTGCTCTGTCAGTACTGTGAAATCCCTTTCTTATCTCTTCTATGTATTTTGCTTTTTACTGCTTCTGTGAATCTGCCATAAATATCCCAAAGGTCAGAATATTTGAACAAAAACAAGATCATTGCCAGCCTTCAGAAATACAATCAGAAACCTAAGCTCAAAAAATGCTCTGGCAAAGCATTTTCAGCTGCAGCCAGGGCAATTAGAATTAGCAGTTTGTAACACAGGGTTAAGGCAGCAATGGCAGAGCACTGACTGCTCTTTCATTTGTGCCTGATAAATACATAGACAATGTGACCAAAGTTATCTACAAGCACCAGAATGGACTGCAAAAACAGAAACAACCTGCAGTACTGTAAGAGCAATGAGAAAGTCCTGAGCCCTGTTCTGTCCTGCCAAACATCATAAATGGAACAGATAAACAGCCTTTTGCAGTTGGCAATCCTTTTCCTACTACAGCCCAGGGTATCATCAGCCTTCTTGGACCCCCACAGCTGGCAACCTGCTGTCCTCCAGGACCCCCAGGTCCTTCTCCACAGAGCTGCTTTCCAGCAGGTTGACCCCAGCCTGTCCTGGCGCAGGGGGTTATTCCTCTCGTGGTGCAGGACCCTGCACTTGCCCTTGTTGAATTTCAGACAGTTCTTCCCTGTCCATCTCTCCAACCTGTCAAGGGCCCTGTGAAGGGGGTATGGGCCACTTCTGCCAGCTTTGTGAACTTGCTGGAACAGAAGAGGCCTCTGCCCCTTCATTCAAGCCATTGATGAATAAGTTAAACAATACTGGGCCTGGCATTGAACCATAGGGGACCCCACTAGTGACAGGCCTCCAGCTACACCTGGTGCCACTGATTATCACCTCTGGGATCTGGCATTCAGCCAGTTTATTTTAAATAGATTTAAAAGTTCCTTTTTTTTTCCCTTCATCAGCTGTCAAACATGATTGCAGAGACCTGTACTGCCATTTCCTCCTGGAAATATGATGTTCTTCTCAAGACCTGAATTGTACTTAGATAAATTACACGTGAAAAAAAAAATCTGTATCTGTGTTTAACAAAAGGCTTTTAGTGACAATGTTCTTTGGCGTTTGCAGTTAACTCAGTTAACTACATAGGGGTATTTTTAATGATTCTGAACCCTCGGTCTCCAAACTCTCAATACTGTCATTAGAGGAAGGAACCCATTAACAGGATGCGTATTCAGTAATCAGATAAATGTGACTCTGGGACAATACTTGAAAAACTATTAATTTTTCCAGGCAGAGCCTGAAGTGATATAACATTTGGACAATATACTAAAACACCTGGCTCCCCTTCTCTGAGTACAACCATAAATGCAATTAGTCAGATATGTTCTAAACAGAAGCAACATAAATACAGAATTAATGACACTGAGCCCTAATGTTTCTTTGGAAAATGTGCTCGTGGATGGACTTTTTGCTTAGGCACTTCATCAAAACATTCTCCTATTGCATAACAGGACCTTGCAGGCTGAACTAATGAATGCATTATCCTGCCAGTAAACCAGCATCTGTTTCTGGTTTCGCCTGGATCATAAAACACCTGATAACACCCATGTTGGCCCGGAGGCGTGTTCTGCACCAGGATCAGAGGCCACAAGCAGCCTGTGGCAGGACTACGACATGGCAGTGGCCAAAGCCCAAGACCAGGGCTGGCTGTGGCCACGGCCTCCCCACTGTGCCTCGGGAAGCCTCTTCCCTGTGGTCCCAGCTGATCTGCCTTGGCCCCAGGCAGCCAAACCCCAGCATCTCACAAAGCCAACATGTGTTTTCTCCTTCAGATAACACTCCAGAGATGTAGGCATTCAGTTGATAGTGGGAATGTTACTGATAATGGCTTCTTTCAGTCATACCTTACAAATGCATCAAACATTGATTTTCGCTGTAAAGTAAAAATGCCGTATCGTAAATGGACCCATGTAAATGTTTTACTTAATGTAGTCAACAGATTAAGACATGTCTTACTCAACAGGCTGTTCCTATGGTGCTGGTGGAATGTAATCCTGACTCTGCTACTCAGTGTTTGCACCTGTGACCTCAGAACCAATTATAAGAAATGGTCTCATTAATAACAAAACAAGACACACATTTTGCAGGATCCTTGGAAAGCTACAGCAAAATTACTCAGACACGTGAGGCTGTTTGGATGATGAAAGGACTGGAGCACCTCACATATAAGGAAAGCTGAGGCAGCTGAGATTGTTCAGGAGAAGAAGGGTTGGGGGATCTTATTAGTGTATATAAATTCATGAGGGGAGGGTGCAAAGGGGGAAGAGCCAGGCTCCATTGGTGCCCAGTGACAATACCAGAGGTAACAGGCACAGACTGAAACATGAGAAGTTCCCTCTGAACACCAGAAAACACTTTTTTTATTGCAAGGATGACCAAGCATTGGCACAGATTGCCCGGGGAGGTTATGGAGTCTCCATCCTTGAAGGTATCCAAAAGCCTTTTAGACATGGTTCTGGCACCAGGTTCTGGGTGTTCTGGCTCAAGCAGGAAGTTAGTCCAGATGGCTTCTGGAGATCTCTCTCAAGCTGCTGTGATTCTGTGAAATCCACTGGCAGATGGATTTGATCATCTTCATCAGTTCAAATCTTGGGTATGTGTGACACTACCACATTAAATAGAGCCTTGTGGAAAAAAAACCCAATCAATTCAGAAGCCTGTGACTGATCTCCTTCTTTCCCCTGTACATCCCAGTTAGAGTCTTCAGGTCAGACCAAATCATCCTAGATTAGTCGAGGGTGAGAACAATACTTTGAGAATAGCTGACACATTTCACAGAGCAAACAGGCTGCTTGTTTCAGCTGCAGTGTTAGCTTTGACTGCTTGGACAACAGCATGTGACCCTGCAAGAAAGAAGCTGACCCATTATAATAAAAACAAGAGCCTCCAATCCAGGGAATGATTGGCATCTGACTCCATTGATTCAGAATGCTGAACAATTGTTTTATTAAAACTATATTATATTACATTATACTATACTATATTAAAAAATACTATCCTACAAAGAATATTAAAGAAAAACCCGTGACTGTCTTGAGACAGCCAGGACACAGCTTTGACCCAATAGACTAATTAATATAAACAACCATCACCAGAATCTAATTAGGATCTCACTTCAGGTAAACAATCTTCCTAACACATTCTACATGTGCAAAAGCAACAGGAGCAGCAAGTAGAGATAAGAATTGTTTTCTCTTCTTCTCTCTGTGCTTTTCTAGGAAAAAAAACTGGGAGATGAGAATTATCTCTCTCTCTCTGTTCAGAGAATGTGAATGCCACAGACCCAT